CCTATAGCTCTATCTATGCCTATAGTCCTAAAGCCCTATAGCCCCATAGCCCTAAATCCCTATAGCCCTGTGGTCCCATAACCCTATAGCCCCATAGCCCTATAGACTCATAGCACTATGGCCCTATGGCCCTATAGCCCCAGAGCCCCATAGCCCTACAGCCCTATCGCCCTATAGCCCTATATACCTATAACCCTATGGCCCTATAGCTCGATAGCCCTATAGTCCCATCGCCCTATAGCCTCATAGCCCTAAAAAGACTCGGATTGTTTTGTTTTTCTGGTATCGTTACTTGTATTCGCGGTGTTGAAGTTCCAGGGATTGTGTTCTGGCACGATTCAGGTCGTTGAGACGCAACAGGCAGGTTGACTCGTGGCGTTGAAGTCCTGAGAATGTTTTTTGGGCTGGAGGGTATAGTACAACATCGTTGATGAGTCTTGGGTTAGCACTGGTCCTCTTCCTTCTCCTTCTCCCTCCTCCTCCTCCCTCTCCTCCTCCTCCTCCTCCTCACTCCTCCTCCTCCTCCTCCCTCCTCCTCCTCCTCCTCCTCCTCCTCCTCCTCCTCCTAAGCCATCTAGCACTCCGCTGCCACTTTTCTCATCCTCGTGCCCTTTTTTTCTGCTGCTGCTCCTCTTCCAGAGACACCTGCGGCCGATGCGGCCGACCCACGCCACGATCCGCCTGGCCCAGATCCCGGGCCCCGATGCAATCCGACCCACGCCCCGATGCTGACCCCCGAACCGTTTGGCGCCTCGTCTTCTTCCATACGTGGGCCCTCGGACCTCTCGACCCCTTCCCCAGGGCAACCTTTCACCCCGAGCTGTCTTGGACGGCCCGGAGCCCGAGACCAGCCTCCGGAGGCCAACGATGACGGTAAACTGGGCGCCTCGAATTTTCTGGGGCGCTGGATGTCTGGGCCCGATCCCGGCCCAGCCGGCCAGCGATAAAGCGCGCGCTCGCTGGTGCAGCGGTGATCCCGCCGATTGAATAATGCCCGACCGAGAGCGGCCCTCGCCGACCTCGGCAAATTCGAATGTTCGTGAGGTGAAGAACCGTGCAGCTGTTGTGCACCTTTTGGTCCAGCAGTGGCAGTTTACAGAGCCCCTGTAAGCCCACTCTCCTGCAATCCTCGATACCTCCACGTGTATTCCTCCCGCTGCCGTCCGCCCGATAGATCGGCGCCAGAATCCTCGGCCAAGGCCGGAAGCCCGACCCAGCGGCCTGGTCCGGCAAGGCAGGGGCTCCACATAGTCCCCCAGACATCCGACGTCGTGTCTTTTTCGCAACATGGCGCCTCAGAGATCTGAGCCTCTTCATGGGGACCGGTTGTTCATCCCGAATCTTTTTTACTGCCCTGGGGCTCTGAGAAGCTCCCCCGAAGCCGGAAATGGGTTAAAGCCTCCCGTCGCGATTCTTTACGGCGCGAAGATGCTAGGTGCTAGGTGCTAGGGCCCATTCGTGTCGCGAAAGAAGAATCACTCCACCCTTCGATGTCGCGACTACGAAACTGAAGGCGGGCAAATTTTCGCTGTTCTCAGTCTCTGGGCCACATGCTCCCGGGGGCCCTTTGCCGGGACACCAGGCCGTCAGACGACGGCTCAGGATGGCAAAGCACGCCACGGGGACGGTGTGGAGGAGTCCAGGGAGTCCAGGGCTCCGTGCCTGGCCAGGGCAGTCCAGGGCACATGGCCCGCGCTCGAGCTGGGTCACGCAGCTGCAGGCACCGAGCGCAAGACGACGGCTGGAGTGAGGACAGCTCGTGACGAGATACATCGGGAATCCCTGATAGCCCGCGGATCCGGAGGACGCATCGGGCGCCGCGGCCGTTCCAGAGTGTCCCGAAACGATCGCGAGAACGTTCCAGGACGCTCTGGAACGACGTGTCTTCTTCCCAAGCTTGCCCGAGACCGGCTGGCCCGACCTCAATCGATCATGATGCGGAGGCCGGACCAGGTCCTGGTTGACAAGGTGGAGCCTCCTCCAGGCCTGGTGCCCGCGCTCGAGCCAGGGCACCCAGCTGCGCGCACCGACGGGCCTCCCGATCTCGACCGATCGGCGGACCTCGGCCTGACCTGCGTCCCGGTTGGCTCCCTACAGACTCTTGTGGGGCTGGGGCCCCGCGCTCGAGCTGGGGCGACGGACACATCCATCTCCAAATCCATGCACTCGCAGTCCTGGACACTGAGGCGCGATCCCATTGATACGCGATCCCGTGAATGCCTTCCGCGCGGGGTAGCCGCGCAACGCCTCCCTGTATCCGTGGGGTCGCGGCCGAAGAGTCCGGCCCGCGAGGCCGTCGACTTGGAGAATAACGATGCGTCCTCTTCTTCTGCCTGCTCGAGACTGGCTGGCCTGATCTCGATCGACCAGCGTGTCTCGGCCAAATCAGCGGCCCGATCAGACCTCGGCCGACAGGCCGGGGATTCTTCTGGGCTGGGGGCCTCCGCTCGAGCTCGGGCACCCAGCTCCGCGCAGGGCCAGAGCGACAGGCGCGCGCCACCTCGGGGCGAGGCGGGGCGAGGCGGGGCGAGGCGTCGACAAACGTGCAAAACGACGGCCCCGTTGAGAGCACGGCGACGTGCGAGGCTTGTTGGCAGAGTGTGTGTGTGTGTGTGTGAGTGTGTGAGTGTGTGAGTGTGTGTGTGTCCATCGCCAGCGCAGTGACTCTGCCTAGCCGCCGACGTAAAAAGTGTGTGTGTGTGTGTGTGTGCATGTGTAGGGGGGCGGCGATGACGAGGAATACCACATGACAATACGACGAGTTTGGCCCTGGATGCGTATCAGCCTTCACGGGGGAGACAGGAGCTGACGTTTGCGCGCCTGGAAGGTGGCGCCAGCGATCACCTGCTATGCAGAGCGCTGGCAATGAGAAAGACACGCCAACGGCGACGTGATTCATCAGAAGCGCTTGCCACTGATGCCTCTCCCTGCTCGGAAAGATCCACCACTGTGCCTGCGGCGCGATGGGGCGTTTGCATGATGCTTGTCTGTTGTCTGGTCGGGACTCCCTTTGCACAATTCGCTTCGCTTTGGCCCAGCGCTCGCTACGATCGACTCGCGCGTTCGCCAAGTCCGCGACTAATTGTCTGGTAGGGTTTCTGCAATGTGCCCAAGGCCGCCCTCCCCCCACCCCCTCGGGGCGCGCGTCGTCAGAAGACCACCACCCCTGGTTTGCTCTTTGGCGAACTTTGCGGACTCCAGGCGGCTCCAAGGCAACCAGAGTCCACTCCAAGATAACTCCAATGCGCCCCCAACACTATCCAAAGACGGCCCAACGAGCCCCCACAAGCTCCAACATTAGCTCACCATTCGGTAACAAGTATCCGAGAGACCTCCAACATGTGCTCACAGAGGCATGCAACGAGGCTCTAAGATGTGAAACAGGTCGAAGAAAACTGAGTAAGGGAGATCAACATGATGTTGCTTCTGAGGCTTTTCGGCCTAAGGCCGCCTCGGGCAAACTTGTTTCATCATCAAAGCGCCCCCCAAATGGCTCAACACGGCCCCAGCAGCGCCCGAAAGCAAACCCGAACACTTCCCGAGACGCCTCCAAGACGGTCCAAGTTAAATTTTAAAGCGGCCCCAAGGTACGCCAAGGGGCGCCCGATACTGTTCAACCGAGCTTATTCGGGAGAGCTGTATGGAACCATCGCGCCACATGCGGCCCCGAGAACCCCGACCATGTTCCCGAGATATCCCCAAGGCACCTTCAAGAGGAAACTGGGAGAGTAGGAGGACCAGGACCGAGCAGGACGCAAGAGGGAAAAGGAGAACAAGGGTGCGTAATTGAAGAGGGCACTGAACTGGAACGGATCTTAAGCTCAACCGCCTGCCTGCTTCGCCGCTGTGCTGCTGCGCTGGCACGGTGGCGGGGTTTGCAGCAAGCAACTGGATACTTACGATGCAACAGAAAGCGTGGCATTTGTCCCTTCTTTCTCCCCTGACCCGGTGACTTCCTTCTCCCAAGAAGTCCTGTTCTTAGCATCTGCCATCTCAAATCGTGGGAGGCGCTCATTGCAACATTGACCATTCTCTCCTGGCCCTAGCGCAGGAGCACGAAAAGACTCTTCGCGATCGCACGATTCAACCACCAAATCCAACTTCTTCATCTTGGATTGAGCGGGACATGGTTCACGTGATGTGTAAAAAATCCAACGCGGCACTGCGGTATCTCTCATGTCGGCCCTCCTGCGCTAACGCGTCCAGCCGCTGGCCCAGGTGGCCGGTCTGCGCCAAGGAGTCCTTGCAAGCTTCTGTAAGGTGTCGCTCGGTTTGTGCTTTCTTTGCCTGCCCCAGCCTCACGCAACTTTCAAACCCCTTTCTGTGCAGCCAGCTCCCATACCCAGGTGGGAGTCGACAGCACTCGATCTTCATGGACTGTGCAAATTGTGCTGTCGCCTCAGAGTGCGAGCCATCCTCTGAGGCTTCTCCAGTGCAGCCTGCCACGTGGAGAATCCACTTTTTCGACACAGCCTTACCCTCGAGCACAGATTTTATGACATTTGCGGGATGTGACAAGTCTTGGATACCAGCGTGCAAGTCTTACTCCTTCAGCGCTTTTTCCACATATGCACGGCGTGATCTGAGGAGTTTGTGAACCACTGAATGCAGCCCCTGCACCAAAGTCAGTTGTGGAACTTGGGCATGCACATGCGGCTCTGCGGCTCTTTGTCGGCTGTTCATTTTTCTTCCTTTTTGTGTCGTGTGATCGGTTCACCTTCTTGGCTGCCCGATGTTGCTTGCGCGGATTTGCCGGCCGCATCTTGACGTCTTGGCGCAACGAACTTATACTTCGAGGTCCAGAACAGCACGCACACCGTCGGTCCGACGGACCAGCCCTACGAGGGCAGCGTGGGCGAGCCAGGAACGGGGTCATGCCAAGGCATTCGGTGGGCAGTGGAACAGGTCACACATGCTATGAGAAGGCAACGCCAAACACAACGGTGGGCGCGTCTGCTCGAAGATCGATGTAGTCGCGTCCGACACATCGCACCTTCGGCAAATATCTGGTCTCGGGTACGACGGTGTTCCGTTTGCTGCCATTGCAAAGATCTGCACATAAGATTTCGGGGGGTTCTGCTGCTTGTCGTTTCTCCTGCGCTGAAGCCTGCACTTCTAGTGATGTCATATGGGTTGCAACCGTTTGGTGGCGTTGCTGCGTGGAGCTCCAGTCGCTAAAGAAACAATTAATCGGTGCGACGTCGCACACGACGAAGGTCTGCGGCACATATGGGGTTCCTAAATTGACATAGGTTGCCGCGTTCATGTACGGTTGCTTACCAGTCGTCTCTTCGTTGATTCAACATTTTCGTTTTCTGGTGATCGTCCTGTGCGGTGACGAGGTTCGACTTCCAGCTGTACCACACAGCGTGTAGAGTGTCAAGTTCTTGACCCAGCTGGCGTAATTTGTTACTCGCTCAACGGGAAATTTCGCCAGCCGCACATTCGTGCACACTGGCATCGTTGCTCATCTTTCTATGCTTCCTCCGTTCCCATTGTCGCATTCCCTCCGTCGTCCTTCCTCCTCTGTAGATAAGAAGACTGTCTGGATCACTTCAGGCATACCTCTGTTCCTTCCGTATCATGAGCATTTTGCCGTTGTAGAGTGTTCGTCGCCCAGAAGGTTGTTTGAATTCCCCTTGAGAAAAAATCCCCCCGCGAACGACATTGTCAGCAACGGTCTTGAACATGTTTTCGACCAGCCGTCTTGCTCGCTGCGGAATGGAGACAGTGAGATATGCTGTGAATAGAGATCGTGCGAACGGGGTTCGCGGTCTATCACTGTGCGGGCCGTTAATTGAGCGGGGCCCGCGGCCTAACATATCTAGTGCCGTCATCGTCTAAAGTTTTCTTCGTGCGCTCCTTTCCACCTCTCTTCGTCCCACCCTCCCTCCGAGCAGGCAGCTGGTCGGGCAGCAGTGGTCAAAGCGGCTCCGCAGAGCAGTCCACCAATTGCTCCCTTCCGTTGTAGAACTTGTGTGGTGCACTGTCCTACCACTAATGATAGAGGTAGATGGGACGTGGAGGTAGCGGCCGCAAAACTTGCTCTTCAAAAGACGGGTCCCACCGCCAAGAAGATCTTCAATGCTCTGTAGCTGGGTGCCGGAATAAGGAACTGGCGATTTCGTTTCAGAGGACTATTCGAACAAAAAGGGCGCCAATGATGATGCCGAAAAAATCATACATCCAATCCATGCGACCTTCCAGAATCCCAGTGCTTCTTTCGCGACTGCTCTCGCTCGACTTTAACTAATCTGCTCATCTACTTCACCCAGGTGTACGTCCACGCCCGTATGTTATTTTGCTCACCCTGTAGGGTCTGAAGCAGAATGCGTGCGCTTTTCCATCTTACCTATACCCCTGAAAGCAAAATGAGTTCTGGCCAAACGCTCTAAATCCGCCGACCCCTTGGGGATCATCGGCGTGTGAGATTCTTCCCCCTCCCCAAACCCATCCCCCGGGAGCCTGGTCTGGTCGATTTGGAGGGGTGGGGGGGTGCCCGGCCGGCCGGTCCGGGCCTCCCCGGTGCGGGCCGGGGGGGTCATCCGTTCCAGAAGGTCTGCTGGGGGGCCCAAAACGAGGCAAGAGGCTCCCAAGAAGCTCTGAAGACGGTCCAAGAGGGCCCCGAGTCGCCGAAAAATCGTTCGAAGACGGTGAAGATTGCCTTCAGACGGCCCAAGATGCCGCCAAGACGCCCGAAGAGGCTTCCAAGAGGCCTCCCAAGAGGGCCCCAAGAGGCCAACATCATTGCTTTTCATTTGTTTTTTTTCGAAGTTTTTGGCCTTCTCGCTTTTCTCGGCTTCCGACGCTCCAGGACGGCGCAAGCGTTCCCCAAGAACGCCCCAGGACGACCCAAAAGGCCCCCAAGTGAGCCCCGAGACGGCCCAAGAGGGCCTCAAGACGGCCCAAGAGGGCCTCAAGACAGCTCAAGAGGGCCCCAAGAGGCCCCCAAGAAATGCTCCAGACGGGGACCACGAACTTAAAATTCTAGCTTTCCGCCCCAAAAAGCACCCAGGAGGCCCCAAGGGGCCCCCAAGAAGCCCCAAGAGGCGCCCAAGAGGCCCCTTAGAAGTCCAAAAGAGGCCCCAAGAGGCCCCCAAACAGCTCCCCAGAAGCATCCAAACTCCCTCCCGCAGGCCCCCGAGAGGATTCGCACGACGGCGCCAGTCCGTCGCCGCCCTTGTTTTCCGCGTCGTATTTTCCTGCTCTTTTTCATCCTCTTCTTCGCCCTCTCTTCCCTCCTTCCCCTTCAGCTCTCTGTGTCATCTTCCCTCCACCAGCACACCTTCCACCCTCTCCGCCTTCTGCTCCTCCCCCCGTCCTCGCACCTCCAAGATGCCTCCAAGACCGCCCTAAAACGGCTCCATCGGCTCCCAAACCGGAAGAGACACTTCGAACCTTCGGCTCCAAGACGCCCCCAACGTGCCCCAGGGACCCCCAGGACCCCCCCAAGAAAAACAAAGGGGTCGGCGGTGTGGCGTAAGCCCGAGAATCCACGTC